GAGCTGCTGTGGGACACCAACAAGCCCTTCAGGTACTACCTCAAGAACACGTCGACCTACTACTGCAACTTGGGGTTCCTGTACCAGGACTCCCCCCGCGCTCCGGGCAGGCCCCCGCACGCCTCGCGTCCACTCGCCAAGCTGATCTCCCGAGGGACTGTTGGCTGCTCTGCTGCCAGAAGTCCCCGGATGCTGTTCGATCGCCTCGCATTGCTTCGTGTAAGCTCTCGTCGATCTTCAGGGGAGGGGCTGGACGCAGCCGGCTCCATGATCAGCGTGCCCGGTGGTTTGTCGTTCGCCCCAGGGCGCCAGCTGCCCAGTCTCCTGGGCCAGTGGCCGGGATTTTGTTCTGTCCCCGAGAAGGACCTGCCTGGTGGACGGCTCGACTAATACTGCTCGGCCACGTCTCGCAGAGCTTTGCGCGCCAGGTCCCCCCCAGCCCACAGGCGTCGTTACGCCATGTCTGTACGATGCTGTTTCTGACATGGACGTTGCCGCGGGCAAGCCGCGGGCACTGGGTGCATCGTTTGTGACGACCAGCGTGTTCGACTCATGGCGGCACTGTGCGGGGTACTTAGATGACCGCGCGGCGGTCTTTACGATCCTTCGGGCTTACTGATCCACAGCTCCGATGTGCTCACCTGCACGCTTCACGTTGCTCGACCATCAGGAATGACGTCTCGATGGCTTGGAGATCCGCTGTCTGTGTGAGCGCTACGGGGGTCCCATTGTGCGCCGCAAGTGCGGATGTACCAGGAGGCTGATGTCCGAGGGAGCTCACTTGCATGGCACTCCCACCCTCCCCGCCGCCTTCTCCAAGAGCGCGTGGCTGGAACAGGCGTGCAAGCGAGTCGCAGCTTGCGCGAAGGCCAGACTCCCGTTCGGGCCTCGCCGCGGCGCCCCCCTGCTGGGAAGGGGGGGGAGGGGCTCCTTCCCCCCCTCCATGCAGGTCAACATGCCGGTCGGGGGTGGACAGAACCCCCAACAGTGACACGTCGATTAGTGAATTGTCCGTTTTCGGTTCTCGAGATGGCGCCGTGGCCGTTATTTTCCAGGCTTGCGCCCGCCAGGTTTGGGCCTCAGGTCGTTTTCACTAAACCACGTTTTACTAAAGGGGGGTCTGTCCATCCCCGTGCCAGGGTCAACAAAAAAGAGTTGCCTCCAGAGGATGCCATCGAGTCGCTGAAGGCCGGCTTCAGCGACACGCACAAGATGAACCAGAAGCAGAAGATATCCCTGCTCCGCAAGGCCCGTGCCCACCTCCCGTCTTTGAGGGCGCGCGCGAGGCGTGCGAGGCGAGTACAGGGCCGCTGTCCGCGAGAGTTGCAAGGCGGGCGTTGGCATCTGGGCCTCCTCCTTCTCCTCCCTCCTCCTCCTCCTTCTCCTTCTCCCCCTCCTCCTCCATCTCGTCCTCCTCTTCTTCCTCCTCCTCCTCCTCCTCCTCCTCCTCCTCCTCACTCCTCCCCTCCTCTGTTCCTCCCCCCCTCCTTCCTCCTCCTACTCTCCCTCCTCCTACCTCCTCATCTTCCTCCCTCCACCCCTCCAATCCTTCTCCTCCTCCCCACTCCCCCTCCTCCCTCCCTCCCGCCTCCTCCCCCTCCTTCCCGCCTCCCCCCACCCCCTACTGATCCCCCCCCCCCTCCTTCTTTTTTATTTCCTCCCCCTCCCCCTCCTCCTCCGTTCCTTTTCCTTATAACTGATTTCTCCTTGTCACACCCCGAGGCCAGTTTTTAGAGCCTGCCGGGCGTTTCGCCGGAGACTTCCTCACCACGTATGATTCTGAAGCTTCAAAATTGGCAAGGGTTTCACGGATTGAGGGCGGTTCGTTTTCAAAATGTGGTTTTCGTTTTAAACCGGCGCACATTCGTTTACAAATTTCGCAAGGGCTTCAGGGATTGAGGGCGGTTCGTTTTCAAAATGTGGTTCTCGCCCTAGCGCAGCGCACATTCATTTTAAACACGTGCAAGAATTTTGCAGATTGAGGACAGGTGGTGTTCCAATTGTGGCTCTCGCCCTAGCACCGCGCACATTCATTTTCAACATTTGCAAGAGTTTCACGGGCTGGGGGCGGGTGGTTTTCAAGCTGTGTCTCTCGCTTTAGCGCGGCGCACATTCGTTTTAAACATTTGCAATAGTTCGACGGATTGAGGGTGGCTCTTTTTTCAACATGTGGCTCTCGCCCTAGCGCGGCGCACATTCGTTCTGAACATTTGCAAGATCTTCACGTTTCTCAGTCATCAGTGTACGAGAAATGGTGTTTTGGAAGGATTCTGAATTATGCGTGTGCAACAGTTGCGTTGGTTATCTGTGCTGAAGTCCTAGGAATGGCGGTCTGGCACGATTCAGGATCGTCAAGACGCAACAGTCAGGTCGATCCGTGGCGTTGGATTCCCGAGAACAGTATTTTGGCATGCTTCAGGGTCTTCAAACGGGTTTCTTCCAACGAGGCAGTTCCCTCAATGGAAATGAGCCTTTGTAGGGGCCTATGAAGAGGGAGCTTGAAGGGAGTGTTTACTCCAACATCGTTGATGGCGCTTGGATTTACACTGGTCCTCCCCCTCCTCGGGCAGATGGAGCCGAAGGATCGCGTCGCATCTAGGGGAACGAGCCATGGCATAAACATAAAAGCTCGGAGGTCCGCGCGGATTTCCTTCTTGGATCCGCGCTTGACCCCCCCTGGCGGCGCCTCCGGCGCCGCCCCTGGCGCGCTCCGCGCGCCAGCGAGGGGGGGTCCAGCGCGGATCCAAGAACTCCGCGCGGACCTCCGAGTTTTTCTGCTTGTTTCCTTGTTCGTTCCCCTAGCATCGCCGACGCATCGCCGATGCCGGTCGATGTGAAGCCTCAGTTCACCCACGCTGGCGTCGCCGTTACACCGCCGACGACGACGATGCATCGGCGATGCGGCGCGATCCACCAAGCGCCATCTCTTCGGATCCCATCTGGGAGGCCTCTGTGCCAGGGGCGGGGACCTGGCTCAAGGTGGCCCCAGCTTTCACGGCAGGGTGCGGACGGCCTTTGTGGGCTGTGGGCCCCAGCTTCTGCCTCATCCTTCTTGTCCTCGTTCTCCCTCATTGAGTTCTCCTTTTCCCCCTCGCCCTCCTGCGGGAAGAGGATGGGGAGGGGGAGGGGGAAGGAGGAGTAGGAGGAGTAGGAGGAGGAGGAAGAGGAGGACTTGGAGGAGGAGCAGGAGGAGCAGGAGGAGCAGGAGCAAGAGGAGGAGGAGGAGGAGGAGGAGGAGGAGGAGGAGGGTGCATCCCTCACTAGGCTCAGCGGGCCCCAGGGGCTCCGAAGTGGCGCGAGGAGCCGGGGACACCTTGTGCCAGGTCCATGTCTAGCAACACCCGAACAGGTCGGGACAGAGCCCGGAGCGGGCCAGAGAGCGCTCTGCTGTTCGCGTTGACCCAAACGCGCCGCGGCGCCACCGTCCCCGCAGCGCCTCGCGCTCGACTGCTTATGTACAGAGCGCTGCCAAGGCCTTCCAGAGGCTCAGCATGCGCAGCCCTTTCCTGCGGCCTCGAGGACGCTGCAAACGCACTGGTCTCGAGGCGAGACGATGGAGCTTTGGAAAACGTCGGGCCGGCCTAGGACAATTGTGACAAGCTCTGTGGAGCTTTCCAGGTCGCTCTGGAGCAGCCGCGCCCCCGATGCGTCCTCCTGAGCCGCTGGCTCCTTGAGATCCTGAATCTTTCTATGCCAGACTACCCATCGGTCGTTGAAAGTAGATATTTTTGGAATCCCAGGTTCCAATTTACTCTAAGCGCCTTCCTACGTCAATGACCGAGCGGCTTCCCCTCTTCCCTCCTCTCCTGGGGACGGGCGGAGACCCAATATACTTCCAATGCCTTCCTACTTAGGGTAGCGACGTACTTCTTTGGACCGATGGGTATTTGTTTCTATCATGTCTGGATCCATGTGTTCATCATGCCTGCGTCTTAGGAATCTTAATGTATCAGGGGGGGCACCTACTGTACACTTGGCCGTTAAGGCAGGTACACCGATATTGGAGCCAGGATCGGCATGGCCAAGATCGGCGCACGTAGCTGTGTGTGCCCCCCCCTTGGGTAGCTGGAGAAGGAGGATGTTTCGGAGGAAGAGTAGGTGACGTACAGTCGGGGCCCTGAGGAAGGAACCCTTTTCGTTGGGGAGGGGCTCCGTGTTCCTTAAGTGCTTCACAGCTTGCCTCAGCTTGTCCTTAGGTTTTCGATGGGGAATCGAAGTTTAACTTATGGGATAAAGGGGCCTCGCTCCTTATTTAGGGTTCCTTAGGTCAACGCCCCGACTGTAGGTGACGTACAGTGGGGACTTGATTTTCTTGCTCTCGGTCACGTCTGGCGCAATGAGGCAGTGTCTCGGCGGCGCCGTGCTACATTCGGGAAGTTCCGGGTCGTACCCTTGGAGTCTCAAAGACGTCGCCTCACTCCCAGATCTTTCCCTTTCACAGCGACAACCCACACAGGATTGCATTACACTGCGGTGGCATGTAGCAGGCCAGTTGTGAAACGGTTGTGGCAGGATGTTTCGAAATGGCTGGATGTCATGTACGTCGCTTGCGTTCATGCTCGGACCGTTGCAGTAGATACGATCACGCATCATGCACACACTAGGTTCACGCACCATGAAAGAGCGCACGTCATCATGTCGCTCACGCGCATGCGTCGTGCGTCACAGCACCGAGCCCGCGGCGACACCACGCGCGAGGGCCAGCTCTACAGCACAAGCAGGAGGTACGATGGGTTTGTGTAGCAAGGCGTGTGAACATCATACGCATCTGTATACAGATACAAAAAATTCAAATCTACTCCTGGAGTGTAGGGAAATGGACAGAGAGAAAGAGAGTTAACAAGAGAGACTGCTCGTGGCTGGAAGGGCACATGACCTTAAGCTTGCCTTCACATGCACGTGCGACCACGCACGAGAGTGCACGTGCCCGTGCACTTCGGCACGCGCTATCATACCGCCCCGGAATGTCGGCCGAAGCGGCTTGGCTTGCGACTTCAGTTTCGCATCAGGTAAATGTGTTGTTGTGTTTCGGGAGAGTTCGTCGACGAAGCCATCTCAGCGAAGGCAGCGGGGGGGGAGCGCCGGATGGTCACGCGGGCGGGCACCCAGGTGTTCTTGTTCCGGCACATCTCGGGCCACCACGGTCGTCTTCTGGCCGCCAACGTGCGGGTCATCAGCAAGAAGAAGGGCGTGGACGGTCTGGGGCATCGGGCGAAGGAAGGGAGAGCGCAGGAGGCTTGCGCGCGGATGGCCAACGTTTGGGGGGGGCGGGGGCGCGCGGAAGCGAGGGCCGATCCCGGCGCAGACCTCCCGAGGAGCCAGAATTAGGGCTCCCTCGAGGGCGCGAAGTTATTCGCGCTTCGCGCTTCGCGGTCCTCGTTCCTTCTCCCCCTCCTCCTCGTCCTCCTATTCTCCCTTTGGGAGGGCGGCGCGAGAGCGCGAAGTTATTCGCGCTTCGCGCAGCGCGAAGCGCGAAGTTGGGAGCCCTAACAGAACCGCGGAACAAGAAGCAGCCTCGACAGAAAGCTGTGAGCTTCGGCGCGGCTTCTGGTCAGTCGGCGCCCAGGTCGGCGCCGATCCAGGGGACTCACGGCGCGGGACCAGGGGGACAAATTTGCGCGGGGCCTCCCAGAGTTTCTGTGGTCGTCTTGCGCAGGCGATGTCCAGTTCGACGCCACTGGCTTTTGGTTGACGCAAGTGGGGCTCCGGCTACACGGGGGTGGTGCAATATGTTTGGTGCTATCGAGTTCTGGGGTTGCGTTAAACTGCAGCGTGCAACACACTCTGGGGCGCCAGTGTGTTGCTGGATTCCCGCAGGCAATACAATTGCCTCAACTCTATCCCCCTTTCAGCTGGTTCCCCGTTTAGGTCAACCAAAGATGTCAAGTTCGGCGCCACTAGCTTGCCGAACGAACCACAAGTGGGCGGCGCAAAACATCGGTGTCGTCTTCGCCGACGTTGACGCGCAAGTTGCCCGCGTTCGGTCGCGCCTGAAAGCCCTTCTTTCCAATGCAGCTTGCCGCGCCGGCGGCCCGCGTAAGCCGCCGCGTAAGGGTGCTAAGTGAACTCTCGGAAAGCCCGCGTCATTCGGCGGCGTGCGAGGGGGGGAAGTGAGACGGGGAAGGCTTTCTCAGAAGGTGGCGGGACTTCTCAGAAGCCCTGCGGCCTTCGAAGTTTTCGGTGTCTTCGGGGAGGGCTTAGAAATCTTGTCAGAAGGCCGGGGGATCTCCGAGCCTTCTGCGGAGGCCTTCTCTTCCTCATTCCCCCCCCCCAGCTCGTAGACCGATTCCTTCCCGCGCTCAGAATTGTGCGCTGCGGCGCAGTGCGTTGGTTGCTCCCCTGGCGTGGCGGAAGCTGGGCGAGCGGTGCGGCCGGCACTCGCTGCAGGCGGGCGCTCTAATAGTATGGGAACGAACTTGTTATTATTTTTGAAATCTAGTTGGGCCTATGTTTGATTGTTTCTTCCAAGACCCGCCTGTAGGAGGACATGCCCGACCTAACCTCGGGGGCGGAAAAGAGGGGGGTGATGACTAGGGGGGGTCGATATCGTGGCGAGGGCCATGATATTTCCCCAGATTTCATGGCGCCTCTTCTTGTTTCCTTACGTCCCCAGCCCCCCCCCGTGGGCCGCGCACATGCCTCCGGTCATGATTTGCACCCCCCCTCTTGGACGCCCCCCTCTTTGCCGCTCCCGATGACCCTCGGGGCGCTGAAGTGCGCGCCTCTCTCCCTCGAAGCGGGAGGGCACGGCGGCAGCCAGGCGACTCCGCGACCCCTCCCGCGCTTCCATCTCAGAGGAGGAAACGTACTCCAGATTTCGTAATAAAAGGGAGGGGGTCTGGACCCTCCAAGACAAGCCATTTCAGACCTCCCCCGTGGGATAAGCCTCCAAAACATCGTCCCCCGACCCCCCAAGCCCTCCAAGATAGCATGGAAGAGACCCCCCCCGAAATGAGACCCCCTCCCTTTTATTACGAAATCTGGAGTACCCTTACCTCTACCCTTCGCCCGTTTGCCCCTTTTTGGGCCTCCTGGGAGGCCCTCGTCGTCACCGCTGGATTCGCCTCGAAACTCTGGTCAGAACGCACCACGGGAGAGGTCCGGGGGGTAGCGGTATCTGTTGTTTGGTTTGTTTCCCAGCCATCGGGGAACAGCTCCCAGACCCCTTCGCCTTGTGAAACAAAGCCAAGTCACGACGGGAGGCTTGTGTCGTTATCTCAGGCCTCTGGTGGCCCTCACGCCTCGGGGTGAAAAAACTGGTCCCGGGGAAAGGGGTCGAGACCTCTGGGTCGACTACACGTAGGAGTGACCTTTCGCCGGAGTGACCTTTGGTGCGGGCACAATGGGGTCCCCTGATCACCGATTGCGATGCGATAGTAGCGTCTTGCGCGCCTGAGTTTGGTCCCCCCGCGGCCCCCCAAAAGCCGCGCACCAAAGGTCACTCTTACCCAGGGTCACTCTTGCGTGTAGCCGACTGGGGGGCGACGCTGTCATCAAATCACGACCTCGGGGGTCTTGGAAACCGGCATGCACCTACACTTTTCGGAGCCCCGCACGGATCTCTTGGATCGGCGCTGGCCGCTGGACACCCCTGGCGGCGCCTCCGGCGCCGCCCCTGGCACACTCCCACGCCAATGACGGGGGGTCCAGCGCCGGTCCAACGCGCAGGGGAATCTGCAGGGGCCTCTGGCCTCCTGGGATCTCGGCGGCGGCGACCGCGGACCTACTGGGAACCTCGGGAAACCGGCGAGTTCGAGGGAGGAGGAGGAGGAGGAGGAGGAAGAGGAGGAGGAGGCACACTCCCACGCCAAGGATCAGGAGGGGAGAAACACACAGACACAATTATCCGTCGACTCCCAGCAACTATGGAAAAATATGGGAAGTGGGGGGAAGACAGAAGCCCAGAACATATTAGAAAATATGGTTTTTTTTGTTTGAATTGTGTGTATTTACTTGTGTGTCCCAGGGCCCCTTCAAAGGAGGAGGGGTCCAGCGCCGGTCCAGGAGCTGCGCGCGAACCAGCGCTCGGACGTGTGCCTGTCCTCTCGGCGGGGGCCGTCGGGGAGCAGCCCGCGTCGTCCTGCGAGGCGTGCGCGCGGGAAGCCGAAGCATGCACGGGTGAGGCGCGCTCGAGCGGTGGCGAGGTTCCTGCTCGTGCCACGTGTGGCTCCTCGGTCCCGAGGCCGAGCCGAGCTGGCGAGGTGCGGTGGGGACGCGACCTTCGAGGTGCAGGGAATGCCGCGGGACCCCCTCCTCCTCCTCCTCGCTCCTCCTCCTCCTCTCTCCTCCTCCTCTCTCCTCCTCTCTCCTCCTCTCTCCTCCTCCTCCTCCTCTCTCCTCCTCCTCTCTACTCCTCTCCTCCTCTCTCC